AGAAGTATTTGTTAAAGACCTACTAGGTACCAGAAGCTGTTCTAAATGTTGAGGATATAGATATAAACTAAGCATTAAAAAAAGGAATGAAAAGCACTTCCACACACAATTCTCTTTGTATTAAGGCTTTGTTTTTTTCTATTAATTTTGTTCTCCAAAATATTTTCTACCAAGTTAATCGCCTCCATTTCAGGCCTATGTCCCCCCCGCCCCCTCACTCACATACCCATAATGTGCTAGGAGGGATATGTGAGAGGAAACAAAATAGAAATGAAGCCCCCATTGGGAAGCTGAGTATAAACAAGTAGGAGATAATGCTGCTACCATAAGGGAGCCCTGGTGGTGTAGTGGTTGTGTTGGGCTGCTAACCTCAAGGCCAGCAACTTGCACCTTCCAGCTGCTTTGTAGGAGAATGACATATGGCAGGGACACAGTCAATGTTGACAAATGCATAACTGGGTCTGCAAACTAAAATACAACACATGGTACTACTTGATTCCTCTTCTGAAGTGTATGGAGAGATGAGTGGAAGAAATAAAAGGTCTGCCCATGATGGAGTTACATCAAAAAGTAATATCATCATTTGATCTCCCTTTAGACCCATTTTAAAGCTGTTTCAGTTAAAAAAAAAGGGGGGGAAATACATTTGGATCAAGCCCCTGGTGAATCCCCTCTGACCACAGACCAGGGATGTGAACAGCCTTGTTAACATGCAGAATGCACTGGAAAGTGGATTGTTGCAGATGCAGTTAGGTTAAAATCATTTGATCTCCCTTATGATCCATTTAAATTGGTTCTAGGTTTTAGTATTTTGTTTTCTTTTCGACTGAGGTTCGTATCTGTTGTACTTTGCTATTGTTGATAGGTAAATCTATAGAGACAGTAACTGGATTAATGGTTCCTTAGGGGTATGGCATGGGAAGGTGGGGAAAAGTAGGAAGCTCATTACAATGAGTGCAAGAAAGAAGAAAACGTTCTAAAACTGATTGTGCTGACGACTGTAAAACCTTTTTTGATATGACTGAACTGTTGTATGATAAGTGAATTCTATGCCAATAAAAGATTTTGGGTCAAAGAAAGAGGTCTGTCCAAGAAAAAGAACCAAAGATCCCATTGGAGAAAAAGAAACAGGGTTACAGATTTAGAGGGATGGGCCATTTCTGAAAGCATCTTAATTGGGAGGATATAGCAATGATTTTTTTAAAACAAGCATGGATCTAGGAGAGAGCCTCTAGTATTGTGAAAAATATGTTAGTTGAAAATCAAACTAAATTTTATTTGAGGAAGAATAAGGCACAAATTATTTTTTATTAAAAGCAGCTCTATTCCCTTCATCAAATGCTGATAGTTCTAAATAGTAGAGATGACAAACACCATTGAAACTATTGTTCTATTGAAATGGACATTTATTTTAAAAAGCCACCATCTGTTTGATTCAAGGTGAACTCCTTCTAATGGACATGCTACATATTGTAGGGCCACTATTTCCCAGAAACAAATTAACTGACAAGGAGAAAATAATGTCTGTTTCAAGTGGTCTTGGAAACTTTTATTGGCTACCCTGGTTTGACTTCAGAAGCTTTAAAAACAAAACATGTGGTCAACTTCTCATTTACAACACACGAGGCACAAAGCTGATTACTCAGGAGGGGCTGAAAAAGCAGATGACAGCTGAGAAGACTGATAGCACTCAGAAGATGCCCACAGGATAGAGGCTCCACTTGACAGACGTGGTTTAGTCCACTGAGGAAATTATATGGAAGCTCAGGAAGGAGAAAAGTACTAGGCAGGAATGGCACTTGAGGGCGTTCTCCAAAAATATCACTATTGTGTTTGTGGTATTTTTGATCATGTGAGACAATGGTATTCTTCAGTCTTCTAAGTACTTTTGCCTCAGAGTTCTACCTGTTTGATCGGGTAGCCCAGCATACCATAACCAAGAAATCTTTTGATTCTGACCTGAATTTACTGCTCAAAACCCACACCAAACCCACTGTTTAACTCCATAGGTTTACCAAGGATGTAAAGCTTTAATGAAGCAGATTGCCTCATCTTTCTTCCATGGAGTGTCTTGTTAGTAGGCTCAAACTACCGACCCTGTGGTTAGCAACCCAATGCTTAACTCATTGCATCACCAGGGAGAAAGACTAGGCTTTCTACTTCCATAATGAGTTACCGTCTGGGAAACTCACAAAGGGCAGTTCTACCCTGTCTTATAGGGTTGCTTTGAGTTGGCATTGACTTGATAGCAGTGAGCTTGGTTATTTGGGTGGTACCCTTACACGCCCTCTCTTACCTGTTATCCCTAGCATCAGCTAGCCTTGAGTGTCTGCTCCACAGTAAGCTACTTGGTAATACGTACTCTGAGGATAAAGAGTTGGAAAGGCCTGGCTTCCTTAAGTATCATCCAGAAAACCATCTCTGCTAGAATCTGGCTCTTGGGTTCCATATGCACCTTGAAAAACTTGTGCACGCATATAATCACTAAATAAAATTGTAAGTTGTCACCACTAGAGAATACTTTGAGTAGAGAATAGTGCTTGTTGCTGTGCCCTCTATCTGCAGTGAGCCTCCTGTGGAAATCCCTCAATTTTGGCTTCAATGCTCTCTTCTCAGATGGGTTTGCCCTGATAGGACTCTTTGTCTCTATTTATTTACTTCACAGAACTTCTTATGGTTAGTGTATATATTGATTATTTGTCTTATTCCTCTATGAACCTTTCTGGCCTTGATCCTTGATGTATTACTTGCTCTAGCATAGGGATTTAGGTAGACAGTGAGCCCACAGTAACTGAGAGACACCCCTTTTTTAGGTTATTCAATGTTTGGAAAATCTAAATGTAAGATAGCTCAATAAAGCACTGAATTCCAGACACCAGCAGCAATATACTCAAACTGGTAGAGACTTTTGCCAAAGCCCAGGATGATTTAATAAAATGTTAAAAGTCCAAATATTAAGAATTTAAGATAAGCAGAAATATTTTCATTTGATTTTTCCTAATTTCTGTATTAAACTATCATCCTAGATATGAAGTTGGTTATTTTATTAGTTATTTTATGATACAGCCTTTACTAATCATCATCATCATTAGTATCCTTAGCTGGTCATGTAATTAATGAAAGTGTTTTAGAAGTGACATTGAAGACTATACTCTTTAACTTTTAAAAATATTTTGCTCTAAACCTAATTAGTGGAATGGTGAAAGTAATACTCAGCAAAATAACAATGGATCTATTTTATAAAGATACATTTAATAAGTAGAGAAGGTGATGTAACAAAACAATCACAATGGACAGTGGTTTTTTTGTTTGCAAATGATTTTTTTGTGGTCTTGGTTTAGCATAATTAACTGATAAGTGTCCCCCCAAAAACCCAAACCAAACTCACTGACATTGAGTTGATGCCAACTCATAGTGACCCAATAGGATAAGGTAGAACTGCCCTTGTGAGTTTCCCAGATTGTATTTCTTTACGCGAGTAGAAAGCCCTGTCTTTCTCCTGAGGAGTGGCTGGTGGTTTCAAACTTTTGACCTTGAGGATCATAGCCCAAAGTGCAACTACTTTGTCACCAGGGCTCCAAGTAGTCCCAATTGACATGCAAACTGAGAAAGGAATTGCTGAAGGTTGCTGTGAGGTGCTGCTGAGTCGGTTCTGACTCAGTGACACTGCAACAAAACACACACCACCTGGTCCAGTGCTGTGCTCACAGTCCTTGTTACGTGTGAGCCCATGATCTACATATAACCCCGCCCAGGCGGAAGGACAACCGAAAAGTGGGTGAAGGGAGACAGCGGTGGTATGACATTTAAAGAAAATTATAAATTGTCAAGTGTTCATGAGGGAGGGAGGGTGGAGGAGGGGGAAATGATCTGATACCAAGGACTCATATAGAAAAAAAGTTTTACAAAATGATGATGGCAACATATGTACAAATGTGCTTGACACAACAGATGTGTGTACGGATTGTGATTAAGTGTTGTACGAGTCCCCAATAAAATGATTTTTAAAAAAGAGTTATAGGCTCAGAAAGCCATAGGGGTAGTTTTACTCTGATCTGTAAGGTTGCTATGAATATATACTTATATAGAGAAGTTAAACTCAGTATGTCTAGTATTATCAATGCCAATTAGCAACTAAAAATCAGATGTCTTTTGCATGAATTATGACAAAGATACTCACTTTGATCTCTTTTTCTTATAATAAGAGATAATGCCATGGTTTAAAGATTTTAGCATGCCAATTGATGTTTGAGATAAAATTTATAGATGTGAAATTTCCTGTTTTTAGAAAGAAGGAATTAGTGAATGGTAGATGAATGGTTGAGAAAGTTACTAGCCATTTTTACTGATTAGTTCAAATAGAAGTCCATTCCAGATGCCCTTTTCTTCTCACCCAAAAGATG